TTTTTTTTTTACACAACAGTCATTTTTTCTGCGCTGGGAATTTTTCAACTTATATCTTTGACGCTCATCTCAAAGACATAAAAAATTGAATGCATGGATATATAGATTTTCCCGATCATTGGATTGCATGTTCATCAACAATACAATGGCCTAAAATTATAATGAAATGATACACGTTTCATTCATGGGAGTTTTTCCAACTGACCCAAACTGAATTTCTCGGAAGCAAGACGAAATTCCGGACGCATCAACCATCAGCGATCATCTCCTGCAAAATACTGACATATTATATCAATGATTATACAGTATATCGAAGCGTGGATTATCTTCACAATTAGGAATAAGGAAGCACAATTATATTTGAAATCCGCTTTGAAGATAAATTCGAAGAAGGTCTTGACATATATGAGGCGTGGGACAAACTGCACTTGTCGCGATGATCCCGCAAAAATTTCAGCTCACGTCCGCTTTCCACAATTGCGAATATAAACCCTCACGTGCAAAAAGAAAAATTATCATTTCCATTCACCTGCAAGAAAACGTCTAGTGTTAATATTGAACTGGAGTTAACTCTGTAGCTCAGAGCAAGCCGGTGCCCAAACACTTTGGTGAGAAATTCATTCATTGTGATTCATTTAAAAAAAAAAAGACGAGGAACATTATTTCGAAGAAAAATAATTAATTAGCGCTCGAATCATTCACTTATTCCGATTAATTGAAAAATGAATCGGTTGCAAAAGAGCAGAGGTATTCTTGGAAGCAGGAGTTCGTCATCAAACTTATGCATGTTTGCTTGAAAAAAAGTAGCTTTCTATAGATTGATCAACATTACCTAAAATACATGTGATTCTCATTTGAAATTTCTGGAAAAAAAATTCGCTGTTTCATATTTTTTAAATATCTTGTACTGTATTTATTTCGTGAACTGCTGGTCTGGTACAGATTGGAGATCGAGTCCTCTTTTTTAAATGATGAAGTAAAAAAATTAAGTGCATTAAAAAAAGCGTTCTAGAATGATTATTGAAACTATAACTATATAGAGCATAGGTATACAGTATATCTGTAAATGGTTGTTATTTCAATTATCTCACGCAAAATAGTTGGACAGTTATTGCGCATTTTTATGGAATATTCATTTCGCGGACCGATGTACTGCTGTATTGCAGATCTCGGCATCTTTTTTTCATAAACATAGCGAAATTACGAGAACTAAAAACTACTTTCTTGTTCAGCCCATGAATTTTATGTTTAAAAAATCAATGTTTGATGCAGCAATATCGAAGTAAACTTACCTTGCTCTGTTAAAATGTTCTACACCGATATTCAGAGTCCTCTATGTGAGTTAGTTTGGGCCAAGGCGCGTAAATCGTGATCCAAATTCTTTATTTTCAAAATTGAATAAAAATTCAAGCGAAGCATGCTGTATACAATATATAACTTCAAGGCAAATTCGAAATTTTACAGAGAAAGCTATCAGTTCTTGATCTAAAGCAAATATCGAAGACCAAGCGCAAAAACCCCTGTCTTAAAATATAAACGTGCTGAGGAAATCTCATTATACATGCAGTACTGTGAAGAGGAAATCCGATTAAGGCGAAGGTCTTATATTTACACTTGCACATTTTTTTGACAGAATTATGAAGTCTGCAATTTTGATCCTCTGCTTGATCGGCGTGGCTTCGGCCGCCGCCGCCAGCACCACGACCGCCGTCCAGGCGACACAAACCAAGGGTGTCATCACTGATGTGAGTCTATATTTACTGAAAATTTTGTCAAGGGAGGAATCGAGAAAATCCTCTTGAATCCCGAAGACAATTTAACCGGGGAAGTAAATAAAGAGGTTTCTCGCCTGCATTTCAAACTTTCGAGACATCCGATTCAGAAATATGAAAATGCTCAATTTGTTACTTATTTATTTATGCTTAATATTGCAGATCCTGGATTTGTTCAACTGGGCCGTTGGCTTGTTGGAGCAGTTCGGTATTGACATCATGGACATTCTTGCCCAGTTCTTGCCCGCTGATTATGACAGAATTATGAAGTCTGCAATTTTGATCCTCTGCTTGATCGGCGTGGCTTCGGCCGCCGCCGCCAGCACCACGACCGCCGTCCAGGCGACACAAACCAAGGGTGTCATCACTGATGTGAGTCTACATTTACTGAAAATATGTTAATCCCGAAGACAATTTTACCCGGGAAGAAATAAAGAGGCTTCTCGCCTGAATTTCAAACTTTCGAGACATGAGATTCAGAAATATGAAAATGCTTTTAAACAATGAATAAATAAATACGAATTATAACGTCTAGGACCTAAACAAGTTGACCCGGCAACCGAACAACCTCGTCAAGCCATAACTGTAGTACCTGTAAGAACGGGTCAAGAACGGGCGACTAATGCTCAACATTCTGCAAATTCTGATCGACCTCGGCATCATCCCGATCGCCAAGGTTTGAAAAAACAATTATTCAATATTCCTGAACAAATTTTCTTCTCGTTGAGTACAGTATTTTTCATCACGGGTGTCCAAAAAGTTTTCCACCGGAAATCATGCATGGGACATTCCTGCATCGTCCACTAAATAGAAGTTTTGTTATCACTGAGATAGATGTCACCTGCAGTTGCATTGAAATTTAGAGACATTTTTACTATTTTACATCAATCTACAGTGGAGTCAAACCTCTTTTCAAGTTAACAAGCAATTTGAGCTTTTTTTGGGAGGGGAACAAAATAAGAATTACAGGAATTTGTGATACTCCAGGCATTAAATTACTTCTTGAATGAGTTGCTAAGATGCTCAAAAATGAGGCAAGGGTTTATTTGCCCAATTATAGTCTTTCACTTCCTTTCAAAACATAGCAAGTTACATTTTTACTGCTTTTCTCTTTTGTATGTCAATAAAATAATAGCCAAAAGGCCTTCAGAAATTTAGAGTTATGAAGATTCGGAGGGGAAGACCTTTGAGTTACGGAGGTTTTTGAATGCATTGCAAAATTTCCTTCATCTCATAAGTAGACTTCCTGAACTTTTTTATAACTGTGTCTCTTCAAAAGTTAAGTCCCTCCTCACTAAATAGGTAATTAAACCTACTACTTATGGTCAAACAAAGTATGTGGTAACATTAAATAAGAACCTTAAAAATGAGCCAGTACTTAATTACAGTACTGACACAATTTTGGACACTCCATTATTGACGTTTTTAACTCATTCTGCAAAGAAATTCGACGGATTAAACAAATGCGTGCTATTTTTTTCATCTCGCATGGAACCTTATTATTGTTCTGACTATACGTACTGACATACAAAATCTTTTTAGAGAGACATCATTTCCGACCTGCTGGCCGCCATCCAAATCATCACCGACTTGGGCTCGGCAGCTTTCGCACAACTCGTGGATTTGATCCCAGAACCCATCTTGTCCATTCTTCAGGCTCTCTTTGAGTCGGGTCTTTATTTTAAAGGAAGTAGAGTATTCATCTGAAGGACTTGAAAAAATATTGACACAGAGAAGTTTTCAATTCAGGGAGGAGTGATTTATCCATTAATTTGGATGATGAATACCAGTTTGTTTCATACACCAGACATTGAATAAGAACCCTAAAAATGAGCCAGTACAGTGGGCCCCCATCTTACGTCATCAATCCGTTCCAGGATGGACGTCATAACATGGGGCTGTCGTAAGTTGAAACCCTATTTCCCTTAAGGTTACATTATAAAAAAATTAATTTGTTCCAGAAAAAAATATTCAACTGAAATTACCTTTATATTTCAACTTTTTGTCAGAAACTGGTCACATCATGGAAGTACTGTGCCAACCAGTGCATAGAACAGAAAACCCTGAGGGTTTTTGAAGTGTGTATACCTGCTCAACAACCTGCTGCAGCAGACTGCATGCGGTTCTTGGGGGTTATTTTGTGTGACATGCTTATGTTTTGCTTTGGTGCTGAGAATTCTGAATATGATCCACTCATTCTTTTTCTTGTCACTCATACAGTTGGACCTTGATGAATCAAACCTTTCTTGAGTCAAATACTATTCTTCTGCCTATTTGTGGAAGCACCTGTCTGAATTCCTTCAGAAGTGCTTCCTTGACTCAAAGGCTTTCCTCTCCAAACCTCCAAATGTCGCATGATGGCTCATTCTGAGAGAGCAGTCCCAGTAAATTTACTCAAGGGATGTTTTTTTTTTTTCCTTTTCATTTCATTTTCAAAATTATTTTTCTGAGTATATAATACGTCATTGGGGGTTCATTTGGACATGTATCTGGTTCCCCTGTCTGGGGGAACCAGACACATGTCCAAACAAAAAAAAAACGGTTGTTTTTTTTATTTTTCCAAAAAAACGGTTCGTGGGAGGGAGCTGAGGAACCTCAGAAGCTGTCGTATCATGAAACCCCGACGTAAGTCGGGGGTTTTTTTCAAGTAAAAAAAGTGTCATAAGTTGAAACTGACGTAACATGGGCCCGTCGTAAGTCGGGGGCCCACTGTACTTAATTACAGTACTGACACAATTTTGGACACTCCATTATTGACGTTTTTAACTCATTCTGCAAAGAAATTCGACGGATTAAACAAATGCGTGCTATTTTTTCATCTCGCATGGAACCTTATATTATTGTTCTGACTATACGTACTGACATACAAAATCTTTTTAGAGAGACATTATTTCCGACCTGCTGGCCGCCATCCAAATCATCACCGACTTGGGCTCGGCAGCTTTCGCACAACTCGTGGATTTGATCCCAGAACCCATCTTGTCCATTCTTCAGGCTCTCTTTGAGTCGGGTCTTT